AGAGGACTACCCTGAACTCAACGTGGCTGCCTGCCAAGCATCTTCGGATCGCCCATGACAGCTACCAAGGTCCAGCACCTTCAGGCAAACATTGCAGTAATACCCTGAATATAAGCCACTGGGGAGCCTTCCCGTTAGACTGTTAGCTCCGGACTGCTGCTGAACTACCAGCTCCGGCATTCCCAAGCAAGCAGGCCGGCCCCTCTCCCTTTCTTCAGGCAGATTGGGATGGTAAAGACAAAAAAATTCTGGATCTCACTCTGAAAGGTAATTCTGGGAGTTGTACTTTCCATACTTTTGAAGCGCGCAGCTTGAGGAGGGCTATTTCAGGTTAAAACTAAACCCTTGCAAGACTGAGTGGCTCTGAGTTTGGGATTCGTTGTCTCAGGGAGAATTGCCACCTTTGGTCTTAGATGGTCTTATCCCAAACAGACCCTGTGCATAATCTAAGGTTTTCCTGGACTCAAGACTCCTGATCGAAGAGCAGGTGGCGGTTGTGGCCTTTGCGCAACTTCAGGTTGTGCACTAGTTATGGCCTTTCCTGGTCCCTATTCACAGTCACTCATGCCCTAGTCACTTCCCGTCCTGATTATTGCAATGCGCTCTACATGGGGCTGCCCTTGAAGATCTTCTGGAAGCTCCAGTTGGTGCAAAATGCAGTGGCTGCTTGGTTTTGTGCAAACCCTGGTGTGCACATGTGTCACCTCTCCTGCAGGAGCTGCATTGGTTGCCAATTTGCTTCCGGGTGCAATTCAAGGTGCTGGTTGTCATCTTTAAAGCCCTTCATGGCTTGGGACCAGATTATCTGAGGGAATGTCTCTTGTCGGTCATATCTACCTGACCCATTAGAGCGGGGAGGCAAAGAATGTTGTGGGTCCCATCTCTGAGGGAGAAATACCTGGTGGGACCCAGAAGAAGGGCTTTCTCCGTGGTGGCTCCCTCTCTCTGGAATATCATTCCCCCAGAGATTAGAATGGCCCCCACTCTAGCACTCTTTCGGAAGGCACTGAAGACCTGGTTTTGCCAGCGGGCCTGGGGAACCCAGAGCAGGATGGAGCCCATCAAATGGCTAGTGTGATCTGCTGTCGTCAGGGCGGGGTGGGTGGGAGTTGGGGGGCGATTATTTTATTTTTCCAGATTTTGTTCTATTGTATTTATTAATTTATTTGATTCTTTTTGTTAGTTTTTATTGTTTTTATTTTTTGTTTTAAATATGATTTTACATTGGGTAAGCCGCCTCAAGGCGGCAATATAAATTAAATAAATAAATACTTAAGGTACAGCTAATCCCACTTTATTATATCTTGATTCACTTGTTTCTCACTTGAGCTTATTGTGTCACCTGTGGAAACATAGCTTTTGCCATTCTTGCTGAGCTCACAGCACTTTTCAAAGAAATAAGTAGCAGACATGGCTTATTTTAAAATCCATATACTGGGCTGCTAAAATCAGTTGAAGTTGACCACACAGAAGCTCACATACAGGAATTCATATTCCTCTGATATTCTCCACAGGTTCTTATAGTATGTCATGATTCATGACTCATGTATAGTGCAACATGTGAATTATTCTAGTACAGTGCATAGGAACTTATGGTTAGTTTGGAATTTATGTCAATATAATAGCTAAAACAGAAACAACAGAAGGACACTGATACTGGCATCCCCTAAACTCTGCTGAAGATGTTACCTAGCCTGGTAATGAAACATTCAGAAACCAACCAACAAGTTCGCAGAACGAACCTTCACCCTCAAAACAGCACTTTATTTACTTTTACGTTCATTTTTATAACCTTATTTTCCCCTTTTGAACAAATGCCAGTATTTCAGGTCTAGATTTATATTTGCAGTATTTTTATTAAATTCAATTAATTCACAGACACAGAAACTTATGACTTGAGAAACTTCTGGCAACACATTTTTTGATAAAACTGTGAACATCAGCTTTGATATTCTAGCCATAATGCATTCACAGAAGGCAGGGTTGGGATTCAAATTTCTTAACAACCAGTTCTGTGGGCATGGTCTAATTTGTGGGTGTGGCTTAGTGGTCACATGACTGGATGGGTGTGGCTTGCTAGCTGGTCATGGCTTGGTCATGAGGCTGGCTGGGCGTGGCTTGTATGTAAATATTCTAAATATTTATGTAAATATTGAATTTTTTATTAAAAAAAGAGCAACTTTTACCCAAAATCAGCCAAATCAGGCAGGCAGATTGAGTTGCTCCCAGAATCACAGATTCACCCAGAGATCTACCTTTTTGCAATTTATTGCCTGAGTCTGCACTGAAAAATAGAAACTTCAGTCCTAAGGAAGGTTCAGCTCTGCTTTTAGATTAGCTAGAAAGCAAGAAATCCAATGATTTTCTGTTTTCTAGCTAATCTAAATATCACAGTTGATAGTTGGAACAGCTGATGGTTGGGGGCGGGGGGGAGGAAAAATAACAACTTACCAAAAATTAGGTGAAGGCACAAGGCAGGCAAGTTGGATGGCACACATGCCAGCTAAGGAGTGAGTGGGCGGGGAGGGCCGGGACCAGCCAGTGGCGTGATTTGTCGGTTCTCCGAACTGTGCAGAATCATAACAACTGGTTCTTTAGAACCAGTCCGACCAAGTAGAATCCCACCCCTGATAGAAAATGAGAGCAGCAAAACGCTGCAAATACAAATATTTAAACAGTATTTAAATACTGTTTGTTATTTTAAGATCTTGTTAAAATCATCTCAGGCTGGTTAGCACATTATTTATGTAACACCCTTTTTCTTCAGCTAGCCCTAAGTGTGGTGTGCTGAATAATAAAAATGCAGCACCATGCCTTGTTCAATTATTAGTAAACTTCATAAAACCCATACAATAAAACCTGCATAAAGATACTGACAATAGATCTTAACCTTTTTCTCCTATCCTGCCTTGCAATTTGGGAAAAATCCTAAATTGTACATCAGCCCTGAAAGGAGAAGTGTGACTCCCAATCAGAACTAAGGGAGAACATTCCCCAAATCTAACCTACACCCGTAGTCATTATTAGGGTTGGATATGAACCTGCTCCTTCCCATCCAGACCCTGACAGCTTTCAGGCATTGGAACAAAAACTTGTACCCTTGGCCAGCCTTGATTTGGAAAAAACATCTGAGTATAATTGGCATACTGTTGATGCCTCTAAACCAATGGATGACATTGTTCAGCAATATCATGTAGGGGTAAGAACATTGAGTCCTGTGGCATTCCATTAATACATTAAATGGCTTTGAATTCTATCATTTCCATCCTATCAGTATGGATTGAAACTAATATGGAGAAAGGAGAAGAACCATCACCACAAATGCAGACAGTACAATCTCCACATTATGTTCCAACCTAAAACTCAACAAAAACGGTCTATCCATTTATTCCAGGGTTCTCTGAAGCTACAGATTGACTATGTTCTTTTCAAACTTTTGTCAGAAAGAAGAGGTTTAAACCTGGACAAAATTTGTCAAGAGCCATTGGATTCAGTGTGTGCTTCTTGAGGATATATACTTCCCCATCTTTAAAAGAAGCTGTAACTATATAATGGACCCAATCACTTATCTTCTGGGAGGCTTTCACTAACCAATAGGTGGCCATGTTAACAGTCTTGAGGATCTTGCCAGTTCCTCAGGAATCACACAGTCAAACTTTTCTCAGCTAGTGAACCAAGACTACTATTTTATCATCTCAGCTAGAACTGCCCAGTCTGAGTCTAACTCTGGGCGAATTTGAGAAACTTAACCTACCAGGTACCTAGGATATTCTTCACAGAAACCCAGAAGATGGTCCTGTGATCCATCCCTCCATACTAATGAATGAGTCACCTTAAAAAATACAGCTGGATACGGTAGATATCTCTGGATAGTGAAAATGGAAAAATAGGTTTTGCTGAACTTGTCACCACAACAAAATCCCTAATATGGGCATACCTTATACACGCTGATTGGATTCAGTGACTGTCTTCCTTCAATGACACTCTAGGCATCTCTGTTGGTTTATCTTCTAGATTTGTTCCGAAAACTAAGGAACATGCTTGGATTGACACAGGCAGACGTAGCATGGCAGCAATCCAATCCAAAGCCCTTGTTACCTGCCCATTCCAGGGCAAAACTAAGGCCTCAGTTAAACAGGCCACCAGATCCTCAGGGTGAAAAATGGGTTTCATCTGGAACCAAATAGTCCATAAACTACCCAGAGCAAAGAAACCCATCTTCTTTCCAAAAAAGCAATCAAAGAATAATCAGGCCATGATGAACAAATGATGGTAAATGGATTGGGTAAACAATTGTTTGGTTAACTATGCTTAAATGAAGTGTGAGGGCAAATTTAATTTGCTATTGTAGAGAGTTAGCACTCACCCTTCTGCTAGAAAAATGAAATATTCTGGGAAATATTAAAAAGGCAGAATATTATACCTCCCTGGATGAGAAAAGGAGAAATATGCTCTTGGAAAGCGGCCCCCACCTTTGTTAATAGCCCCAGAAAGACAAAAGACATCTTATCTACAACACAAAAGACCTTCAGCTTCATGGTGATGGGGTTAGCCCTCACTCAGATCCAAACAAGGACAAAGGATTAAGCCATAATAGAAATTGCCCAAAGCCCCTTCATTACCCAACAAGATTCAACCAAGCCTGGGACTCAAGACAACCTACAAAGCTACCCCTGCATGGCCCCATGGGAGTCTGACAACTAATCAGGATGCATTTCTTGCCACAGGAACAAGAAGCAAGTTCAAAGCCCAACAGAGGTTACAAATATCTCTCCCTCTTTCACCCATGTGCTCTTTTTGCCCAGGACCTCAATGTGGTCCTGTCCACCATTAAAACCATCCTTCCAAGCAGTCTCCATGTTTCCAGTGTCTTTCTTCCCACTTGGAACTGAACCCAGATGGACATTTCTTCCAACACTATGAAACACAATAACATGCAGAAATATTCTTTTCACTACTACTGGTAGATTGTAAACAACCAACTTCCATCTAGAATTCACCTGTTGCTGAGTCCCAACTCTCCTTTATTATGTTGCACCAAGGACAGCCACTTGAAAATGATGAATTTAAATTTTACTAATTTACTAAACGAGTAAAAAAAGAAAGACAGAAAAACAAGAAAATATTTTTTTAAAAAACTGGGTATGGATAAAAAGATGTACACTTACGTTCCTTGCTTTTTCAAAATAAAAAAAGGAGAACTTCCAGGTTGATTTTAATTCTATGGTCTGCTCAGACTCAGTGGCAATATTTATTAAATATGCCTCCGGCCCATCTCACACAGGACCTTCTCTCCAGATCATGTTCCCGGGGCAGGCATCCGGGACGCTAGAAGAGCCCAGGAATCTTTTTTGTGCAGTTGTGCTTTCCTGCTGGTCTTCAGCCGAGAGAGCTCATGCGTGGTCGCTCGTGGTTGCTTGGGTGCTGCTGGCCCTTTAAGCTGCGGGGAAGAGAAGCGTTGCGAGCGAATGGCGCTCGGGTCCGCTTGCGGATCGCACCCTTCTCTTCTCCATGGTAAGAGGCGCGATATTCCCCCTCTCCACCCCACCCCCCCGCACTCCTCATCTTTTTATGGGTAGCTGGGTTTAAAGTTTAGCGTACAATAAAAACAACTGACGGTCTTTGGATATGCCAGGTGGGAAGTCTCTCTTCTCAGTCGCCCTCTGCCCGCTGCTGCGTTTCCGTCTCCCGGCGACGGTTGCTGAAAAAGTGGCGGAGACCTAAAAGAAAAAGGCGGAAAGTTGTTTCTCATCGCTTTTCCCGTCACTGGCTAGGATCGCCCAAACTTTTCTTGTCCCGTTGGCCGCGGCCTCGACTCTCATTCACCCCTCCCTTCTGAATGTGTAGCATAACGAACTAAAGAAAACGGTGCATATTTAAAAAGGGGCAGATTTTCTGTCATCAGTCAGATGGGGAATGGGAAGAATTCCTTGGGCCTTTCTTGCCTTGCCAAAAATGCAGAGGTTTTGCCAGGTTGTACTTTTGTTACTTTACTCTTAAAGTAAAGGCTATGATGTGATTTAGAATACTTTGATTCTAAAGGTTTTGGAAGCTTATCATGTAAAATATCTCCTTTTGGGGGGATGTAAAACTATGGTTTGTGAGTAGATATATGTCCACACCCTTTTAGCTTTGGATTGTCCAAAACAACATGGAGTCTCGAAAACATATTTCTCCAGCTGTTTATTTCACTTATTAAACTGATAATACCATAAACTTAAAACCTTTCAATGTGTACCAAAAAAATAAAAATAAAATTGAAGATTTTATTGTGGAAAGCAATTAAAATACATAACTTAGTAGATGGTTGATTATATGCAAGAATAATAAAATGCATTGAACTAGAGAAGAAAAACCCATTCAATGCTCTAACCTAGGGAGAAAGGGATGCTTATTCTTTAAGTCTCTCATTTCATTTAGGACTTCTGGATTTTTACCTTTGCCTTATTAAAATACCAATGATATTCCTTGTTTACCAGGCCCTTCATGAAGCAGATCATGGCCTCATCAGCCAAGTACTGGTGGATTCAGAAGAAAATCTTAGTGTTTGCACTGAGAAAATGCACCCCACATCTCCATATAACTGGAACACAGATTGGACCTTCTGGGTAAATTCAGATTCTCCCTCAGATTAGAGAAGTGTTTTCTTATTCAAGGATGTGTGTTTTTTAAGCTGTTTAATTAAGTCAATCTTTTTCTCTGCTTTGGAAAAAATGTATACTTAGTAATACTTAATGTATTAGGGTGTCTGTTGAGTAACCGAGGAATGACTTCACTGTTATATTTTATACCAAGTAATTGTTTAAATTGCCCATTCTAGAGAGATTGGAGACTCGGTGTTGTTTTCCTACTAACTTACCTTACTTGTTTATATTGCACTTGAATGTGGCTTTCTTATTTTAGAATTTTTAATCCCACCTTTATTATTTTTCCCACAACAACAACCCTGTGAGGAGCATTGGGCTGAGAGAGATTGACTTACCCAGTCATCCAGGCAATTTTGTTGTCTAAACTAGAGATAGAACTACAACTCAGTCTCCCAGTTTGTATCCTGGTGCCTTAATCTCTCGACCAATATGAGTCTTTCTTGTCTTGTGACTATTGGCCACATGTTTGGGCTGCATGTTTTAGATACTAGGAATTGGAATTAACTTCTGAATAGGTATTCTTATATTCCGTGTCACTGGAATTTATGGACAACTGTACAGTTTGTACCTGAAATGAATCAAAGATACACATTAATGCTGAGGTTATAATCTTAAACACACTACGATACACTCCATTGCAAGAGATAAATGTATAATTGTACTTTTAATTGCTGTAAAGATTGGAAGCTACTTCTGTGTATCTTTTTTTTCTTCTTCTTACTTTGTATTAGCATCTATTTTTATATTTGCAAATTTAGATACTGTATATAGAATGATCCACTCCCCTGAACTTGAGATTTAATTTTGAAATACCTGTATCATAGTAAGGAGAATCACATTATTGAGTTGTCTACCATTTGATTTTGAGATTCATTTTTATATAAGTTATCATGGTTGGGTGACCCCTGGGGACACAATATAGCCAACTGGTAAAGAAACTTCAGAACAAAATGTCCCTGGCAGTGAAATAGAAGTAAACCTCCACTGAAAAGGAGAATTAAGAGGGTATTAAGAGGGTAATATTTGGAGGTTATTTAAACTAAAACAAAATTTCACAGCATATTTAAAAACCCTTAAAGATTACTTAATAATTAATAGAAGGCACTAACAGAACTTAAAAAATGAAGGTAATTTTAATTTGTGAACAAATTAAAGAGCTGAACACGCTCAAAGCCATATGGGGACAAGGATTATATTGCAAGAAATGTTAAGTTGAAGAACAGAACAGGAGTTAGCAGGATATGGATCCCAGGATCTCTTTGGGCTCCAAGAACACCCTTGAACTGAGTGGTGCTTACTTTTTAGGTTTTGTTTTTTTTAATGTTGGAAAGAAAATATTTTAAGGGGAAAAGTGGTTGCCTTAAGCCTGTGCAATGTTTAAAATGTATATTTTGTTCCTCAAACCCTTTCAAAATTATATTGATTTTTTTCATTTTGGCAGAATTGAAAAAACAAATCAATACCATATATCTCAACAAGGGTTAAGACCACCTTTTGTTAAAAAGCCCAGCCTTTAAAAGGCATCAAATTTGATCCTACTTTCACAATGTCATGGCATTCGCTACTTCATCTTTAGTTCTTGGAAGGTAAAGCTTTGAAATGCAATTCTGCATCTGCAAAAATAAAAATAGACCTTTAAATATTTTTCAAGCAGCAACAAACTAGAGAAATTATTGGAACAGAGAAAATGAATGTTTTAAGGAATTGCTAAAGTAATAGATAGATATTTCTACAAGAAGTAGGCATATTTGTGTTAATCTCCACTATAAAAGAATTGGATATATTTCCAAATCTGAACATTTTGGTAAGGAGAGGCATTTGAGAAGTTAAGAGAAATCTATTTGTCAAGGTATGAAATTCCAAGAATGGTAGTTTTAAATTTAACAAAACATGAATAGACCATACATACCTGCATGTTTGGAAGGAGACAGAAAATTATAAACATCAGATGGTATACCATCTTGTTTCAGACAAATAGCTGGAAAGCGTTGTAAGTAGCAGAATAAGTCTTTCTTAGCTGATCCTTCATTTGTACCTAAGCAGAGTTGGATAGATTTGCGGATAATCCTTGTTTAGCAACTCTACCTCATTTAACAATTATTTGCAGTTACAGTAGTGATAAAAAAGTAACTTATAGCCAATCCTCACTTTTATGAACTTCACAGGTTTGTAAAGCAAAGCAAAGCTGAAGTAATAGCCGATGGACTGAAAGCAACTAAGCAGTTAGTGAGAAACAAAATGGAAAGATCTAAACTTGACGGGAAAGATTTAAGCCCTAAAAAAGACACGTTATGTCTAGGGAAAATGGGGGCAATACTGCTACAGTGCTTTCCTATAACAAATAGTTTATATCACAGAATGCAACAATCTTTTAGAGTTAATATGTTAGTAAGCACTGGGTAGAAGTGACTCCATAGGTTTCATATACTTAAGCATTTATAAATCTGTTGACAAAAATCTTTTACTGAAATTGGAAACTTCTTATAGACTACTATTATTACAGAATAGGCTATATTATCTTATGTATGTTTAATAAGCAGTAGGTTAATCTCTTAACTCAGCACTCCAATTCTATTTTCCTAGCCCTGATATTTATATTTTAAAAAATCGTAATTATATAAATGTCAGGTTTAGTTTGAAATGTAAGTTCAAAATGATTTCCATTTGTAAGATGGCAAGAAGTTTAAAATATGTATTTTTTTGTAAACTATGTAATACCCAGGATCTGTTTGCATTAACAATACAAACGCCGAACTGCTCCAAGCATAGAAGAATTATCTAAGCTATCTGTTGATTAGACTTTGAATTATTAATCATACTCTGGGCATGGGAAATCTGAGTCAGTAGTTATGTGAGTTATCCGAGTTGATGAAGTGAATCAGCTGCAATTTGGGATTTAGTCCCATGCTTGTTTCTCAGCATCTCACAGTTGCTCTTGAACTGGAATTAGATGACTAACAGTAAGAACTATTTTACTCCCTGAATCCAAGCTACAGGTAAGCAAACCTTCAGGTATGGGAGTACTGTTAGGCTTCTGAAATCATGATGCTAGAGAATTAATAGAAATTCCCATCTATGGAAGCTCCTCATCTTTAGTATTTTTTTTCCTGGCAGGTGGGCATTTTAATTAAGCTATGTTGGGCTAACATGCATAAATGAGACCACCGGTATTCTTTAAAATAAAAGCAATCTCCTAGATGGGATTGCAGTATAGCGGTCATGGGCCTAGGATGGTTTGGAGCAGTATTTCCCAACCCCAGCAGTTCCAATATATATGTACAATTCTCAGAGTTAGTGGTTGGCTGGAGGAATTCTGGGAATTGAAGTCCACACATCTTAGAATTGCTGAGGTTAAGAAACACTGGTTTGGATATACTATACATCCCCAATGTTAGTCAAGCTCCCTGCATAGCAGTGTTATTTTTAAAAGATTTTTTAAAGAATAATTGGAAGCTGGCATGCTACAATATACTAATCTCAAAGATTACTTTTATTTTGCTAAAATGCTATGAGATCCACTTGATGGGACACATCAGCTCAATTTGAAAATAAAAATGGTTGCAACACATGCTTTGTCCAGAAAATCAGAGGTAAGCGAGAGTGGTGGAATACACATATCATAGAGGAGACAGTTTTTAGTAGTAAATATTTTGTAACCAGTCATCCGCTCTGTGATAGCCATTTTGTGAAATACCCCTGACAAGTTCTCAAAATTTTGAATGCATTTACTCAGAAAAAACTGCCTATATCTTTTGAAGTCAACTTGAATTTTAGCATGACTAATAAGACATTTGTTTAATTTTGCATGTTTGATAATGATGATTCTTGGATGGAATACTAGGAAGATATTCTACAGGGAACATTGTTTTCAGCTATCCAATATAACTGTATGGAAAGGAAGAACAAGAATTGTTAATTAAGTCCTAGTGGTAGGCCAGACTGTCTTTAAAGGTTTCCATAAAACTATAATTGCTCCCTTGGAGACTTACTGTGGTTTAGTCCATTAGAAATTAGAAAGAGACAATGCTGCCAACCTACTAACAGATACGGATTTTCAAAAGAGAGTTTTGAAATAGTCATGAGAAATAAGTGACAAGCCAAGTCTTCTGCTTGGTGTGTATATATGTGTGTGTTTATATTTCTGAGGCTACTTAGATAGTTTTATCTTGTCTAAAACTATGAATGTTGATGAGGCTAAAGTTATGATATATCATTATTCTTGATTATCTAAAATATAAAAGATACATTTGATAATTATTAAAGGCCAATTATATATTTGTGTTTTCCCTTGCAAACATCTTATTCTTCTAGAAGTATTTAACTGTTGTCCATGTTATCATTAGTACCATGAAACAAGAATGCAAAGTTCTGGTCTCCATATAAGTCACCAAACCATGCCTCATGTTGATTATCTCCCTTGCCCTTGTTGATCCAAAGAGATGTCAAGAAATAATCAGGAATAGTTTCTTTTCTATTCCCTTTCTTGCCTGACAATGTGGCTGATGATTAGACTGGTCATAAAATAACAGATTGAAGGAAATGAGCTAGCATGACTTAGATCAGGTGCTAACATTCCTCATTAAAAATACAGTATTCATGTTTAAACTCAGTCTAATTGTAGCAAACTGTTAATTTCTTTCATCTTACGTAATGTTAATTAGATGCTTCTATAACATTTGCCAGGTGAATAGGTGCTGACTACTGCATGTTCTTATAATTGATTCATAATAAACCTATGAATGTTAATCTCTGACTGCATATTCTAAAACATAAAAAGCAGTCAGTTCCTAATGCTGTAAACACTATGTTGTTTTATGGCAAGCCCAGCTGTTCCTTAAAGCAATTCTGGTCAATCGGTGAAAAACAAACAAAAAAGAACAATATATTCCCAACTCTTATGTGTATTTAGCATGCCTCCAGAACATTGACATGCTTACCACTGCGCATATCGTATCTAATGC